TCTTATCCTTTCAAATTTCAATTTTATTGTGACTGCATCATATTTTACAAGTCATACACTTGGGATAATTTCCTAATGTTCTATTTATATATCTTATTAAAAAAAATAACGTATTATGCCCACATAACCCACCAAATAGCAAATACCAATTTCATTAAATTGATGTCACTACAAGAAAAACGGCTGCAACAAAATTTTTTTCGACAATTTTTTTTTCCTTAGGTACCCCCAAATTTTGTGGCCTTAGGTTACCCAAAGGCGACATTAATATAGCTTTAATGGCCCTAGGTTGACCAAAAGTGAATTCTCAAAATCAGAGTTTAGTCGCCTTAAATTTTAAACCAACGATGACAAACATGATGCTCGTCACCGTAAGTGAGACCTAAAGTGGCAAAATCATGGTTTTAAGATTGATGAAGGGCGACAAATTCTCAAATTTGTCGGCTAAGGTCTTGCCCTAATGTGACAAAATCACAGTTTCGCCGCTGTAAATTTTGAACTTACGATGACAAACATGAAATTGGGCTTCTTAGGTGAGATTTAAAGTGATAAAATCATGGTTTTGTCGCATTAAGTTCAGGCCCAAGTGCCGAAATTCGAAATTTATTGCTATTGAGGAGGGAAATCAAACCTATGACGAAAAGATAAAATTTTATCCCCCTATAGCAACAATATCATTTTTTCTAAGGCGACAAGATTAGTATTCCGTTACTTTTGTATATGACGTAAGTTGACAAACTTATGATTTTGCTGCCTTTGGTCAACTCTAAGTCGACAAGTCATTATTTTCGTCACCTTTGGATATGCCTCAGGCAACAAAAGTAATTTTCGTCGCCATAACTATCACTGAAGGTGAAAAACTATTCAATTTGCAATAAAAATAATATCTTTGTTGTCGTTGGTATAATGGTATACGCTATGGAGATAAATTTTTTATTTTTTTAAAACAGGACAAAAATAGTAGCAAACTTTTAATAAGTAGTTAATGTGTGTAGTAATGAATTGTGCTTATAATAGAAATTGACGACACATGCAACATGAGAAAAGTGTCAAAAAAGTCCTAAACCTTTTACATTTGTGCCAATTTAGTCCTAAACCCTTTGTTTATGCCAATTCAGTCATAAACCTTTTAATATAGTGCCAATTTAGTCATTCCGGCTAATTTTGGTTGGATATTGTTGACGTGGGCACCGACCAGCTTACGTGGCACTGCTGGCGCTGACGTAGATAATTTTTAATAATATTTTAATATTTTTTCGAATTATTTATTTATTTTTCTTCATTTTTTTCTTTTTTCTTTTTTCCTTTCTTCTTCTTCTTCCTTTTCAGGTGACCGGTCGGCAATGGCTGGCCATCGGCCATGGCCGTGCTAGCTGGCCTCGCTTGAGCGAGGGTCCCCGTCGCCTGGCCAGGCGAGGGCGAGACCTGGCCCGACGAGGGCTAGCCCCGGTGAGGGCTCCTATCACCGGTTGTCGCCTTCGCCCGGGCGACGCCCGGCGAGGTTGCCCTGGCCTAGGTGAGGGTCGGCCTTGCCAGATCTAACCTTGGCGAGGCCAACCCTCGTCGAGCCTGTTCAGCCACGCCACTCATCGTGCCACCTTCATCGGGTCCATGTTCGCTGGACTTCACGTTGCATAGCCAGTCCAGGCTCCTGTTCGTTGCTTGTTGCGCTATCGTCCCTCTTGCCCAACGCCATTGCATAGCTAGCCCAGTTGCCTTCACCGTTGCTCGTCGCCCAGGCCAGATCTGGTGAGGGGAGCCCTCGCCAGGGCTGGCCCTCGCCAAGCCTCGCCTTCGCCTGGTCGGGCAACGGCAACCCTCGCCTGGCCGGGTGACGGTGACCCTCGCTCAGGCGAGGCCAGCCCGCCTGGCCATGGCCAGTGGCCGGTCACCAGAAAAGGAAGAAGAAGAAGAAGAAGAAGAAGAAAAGAAAGAAAAAAAATCAAATTTTTTTTGAAAAATATTAAAATATTATTAAAAATTGTCAACGTCAGCAACGACGATGCCACATAATCCGATCATCGTTCACGTCAGCAATATCCGGCCAAAATTAGCCAAAATGACTAAATTGACACTATATTAAAAGATTTATGACTGAATTGACAAAAAAAAAAAATTAGGCCTAAATTGATACAAATGTAAAAGGTTTAGGACTTTTTGACACTTTTCCCCATGCAACATTATCAGTGAAATGTAGATGGTTTTGTAGAATTATTGGCTATATTACAAATGTAATTATTAGATACGGTTTAATTAATTATTTTGATATATAATGAAAGCTGGAATAACTATTAATTCGTATAATAGGAAACACTAGTACATTTTTAACCGTTAGAAGTTAGAAAAGCTAGTAATGTTAAGGTTATTTAAAAACTAATACAATCAATTACGTAAACCTTTAATTTATTGATTTGATAAAGTTATCTTCACTGTACTTGCAATTTATTTGCAAGTTGGGATGGATTTCAAACATTTCTTTGCACTTTCTTATGTTTGCGTGTTGTATTATATTAAATTGGGTGGATTTAATATAATTTAATATAATACAACCGACGTGGATGACTATTTTTTTTTGGTAGACTTGAATCACGTTGCCAACCCACCATCCAACCTAACGGTCACGTAAAACATATTAATTATAATGTTTGTAATTAGCTATTACTATTGTTATTATGGTGGTGGCCCCCCAATGGAACTCGAGACACAGGAAACACCGGCGAAAGCATAATGAAAAGACGAAAGTCAACTTTCTACGTTTAAATAATAGGGATGAGTACTAGCTCAGGATAGACGATGGAGTAAGACCGGACCGACCCTCTCCAACTGGTTTTAGTCTAGTTCCAGGATCTACAAAATAGGTTTCATATTTAAAAATTTGGGAACCGATCCTGACAAGATAGGTTCAAGTTTCAGGTTTAGAACCTACTCATCCTAAAACCTGAAACATACCCACTCTGGAATTGCTCGTCCCTAACTTGCACACTATGTGTGCTCGTTCAGCGAAAGTTCTTGTTGGGACAATGCCTATTTGTCCTACAAGACAGAGAGTCGCAATTGCTTCCCTGACCATATGATGTGCTCTGTAGCTTTTGGGAATGTCCAATCAACGCTCCACAATAACATAGCTAAAGATGCCTTAGTTTTTTCATCCTTTGAGGATTGCTTTTGGTCAGATGGGAATTTCTGTTGCTGCTTTAACTTTCATTTTGCTTAACTAAGAGATGAATTAGACACTTCCTAATTGCTTTATAGTTTTGTTTGTTTTGTATCGTACTTCTTACCAGTTTGTTGCTTTATTATTTTATAACTGCTATATGTCTCAGATGTAAACAAGGATATGTTTTACTAAAGCTTGTTCTTTTAAGAAAAAAAAAATGAAACGAAAAAAAGAAATTGGCCAGTTTCCAGATAGACCCAGGAACCAAATAGAACCAACAGGGAAGGTTCCAGGGCTACAGGATAGGTTCTAGGTTCCAAAAATTGAGAATCGGTCTCAACAAGATAGGTTGTAGGTTTGGAACCTACCCACCTTAGAACTCACCCCTATTAAATAATCGAAAGTACGATGTTTCGTAATTGGAAAGATTGAGTGTCACTCACCCCTATTAATTAATCAAAAGTACAATGTTTCGTAATTAGAAAAATTGAGTGTCTTCATAAATACCCGAATAGTGTCATTGTAGTTTCACGTTTCACCCACTTGAGAAGCTAAGTGTTTCATCAAAATTTTGTTTTTGTACAAGCAAAATATAAGAAAAAAAAATAGAAAATGGTTTCATTAACAACAAAATTTTATGCCTGAATTTTTGTCGACGATGAAAAATATTTTTTGATTTATTTTTTTAAACGATATAAGTTATTAGTTTTCAGGAAAACAGTTTTCAAATCGTTGATTGATTTTTCGTAAAACCAACGTACCTTAGGTATCACATCACTAATGTTAACCATGAACCAGATTTTTTGTAGTGCACCGTGATGGGGGCCGCATTCTTGACTTAGATCTATGGTGAGGTCTAGGAACCTTCAACGACAAGCGACAAGGCCGACGAAGGCCGCAACCTCGCTTGTCTTGGCTTGGTGATCGCCAAGACACTCTTTGTGTCTTTGCTCTTGTTGAGCAACGAAGGCATCGGCAGTAGCCCCTCTACATTTGCCTAAGCCAGGCGAGGGAAGCCGGCCCCTAGTTGGTGCCTCGGCAGCGGCGTCTCCATCGCCGGTGCCATAGCTCCCCCCATCACCTTCATCCCCTGCTTTTTTTGACTGAACCCTTTATCTCTTTTTTGCTTTTTCTTGTTTTTCTTCAGATTTTAATCTCTAAAATTTCAAAAAACATTTGTTAGAAGTTTTAATGAGATATATGATTCCACGAGGGATGAGATGTCATCGTCTAATCAAAATGAATGCTACGTCAACATTTTTTTTACCTTATAAAAGAAGGACTAACGTAAAATATATATATGATTTAGCAAAGAAAGTTGACGAGCCTGATTGAACATTTTATAATAGTTCAAGGACTTTTGACGCAATTTACTCTTTGTTCTTCGATGACCGGCCAGAGGTTGAAGATGAAGAAAAAAAAAAGAAAAGAAATAAATAAAATAAATAAAAAAATTCGAAAAAATAAAAAAAATAATATTAAAAAATTATTAGTTCGGGGTAAAATTGTCACAGGTGTACCAGTTTGGGGTATTTCGTGGTAAAAAAAAAATAGTTTAGGGTAAATTTGTCACGTGTTTACCAGTTTGGAGTAAAATTGTCACATGTGTACTAGTTTGGGATTTTTGGTGGGGTAAAATTGTCATATGTGTACCAGTTTGGAGTTTTTGGTGGTAAAAAAAAAAGTTCGGGGTAAAATTATCACACGCATACTAATTTGGGGTTTTTGGTGGTATTAACCCTTAAAAAAAAAACTGCAGCAAGAAAAGGACCGACCAACGACTTTATAAAATTAGTCGACGACACCCACCATTATTCTTGGTTTAGTTCCATATATAATATATATGTAGCAAACATACAAGTTGTGAGAGGTCGACAATCGTGGTGGAAGGTGTTTTCGATATGGATTTGGCTGAAGGAGACGGGGATGCGACCGCCAGCGAGCTCCTCCGAGCTCAAGCCCACATATGGAGCCACATATTTAGCTACATCAACTCAATGTGCCTCAAGTGTGCCGTGGAACTAGGCATACCTGATCTAATCCACAACCACGGCCGACCCATGACCCTCCTCGAGCTCGTCTCCGCGCTCCATGTCCAACCCACCAAAGCTCATTGCGTTTGCCGCCTCATGCGTGTCCTTGTCCACTCTGGCTTCTTCGAACTACAGGATGTCGAAGAAGCGGATCGCCAAACCGGATATGCCCTCACCGGCGCATCCCGACTCCTTGTAAAACACAACCCCTCGACCGCAGCGCCCTTCGTGGTCCCTGCGCTCGAGCCTTACTCCATGAACCCGTGGCAGTATTTGAGCGCATGGTTGGGGGACAGAGAAGATGTTCCATCGACGTTCGAGATGGCGCATGGCATACCGGCGTGGGAGCTCGTGAGGCGCAATCCCAGGGTCGGCGGCTTGTTCCACGAGGCGATGGCGAGCGACTCGAAACTGATAGCGAAGCTGGTGGGGGATACATGTGGGGGAGTGTTCGAGGGGCTGAGCTCGGTGGTCGATGTGGGAGGTGGGTCGGGGACGATAGGTAAGGCCATCACGGACGCGTTCCCGCACTTGAAGTGCACGGTGTTTGATCTGCCGCATGTGGTGGATGGTGTGGTCGGAAGTGAGAGGTTGAAGTTCGTCGGAGGTGACATGTTTGTGGAGATTCCCCCGGCGGATGCAATCTTACTCAAGGTAAGTACCATGCAATCACACTCATTTGTTTAGTGTAATGCTAGTATTGTTTTAGATTGCGTTGGAAATATGAATCGACTCTACTATAGTTAATAATTAGGTGTTAGGTATTTTAAGATTAACTAATAAAGTTAAGATACTAAGTGATGAGACAAAGTCTTGCTTATGTATATCAATTATTGGCCCATATAATTGAATGATTGCTTTTAGTTAGGGGCAGCGTTATTTCCACCCTTATATGATTAAATCCACCCAATTTTTACCAAAAAGACGAAATAACCCTCGATCATTCAATTGCAATTTAAAGTAGTGTCCCCAAATTTATCACTTTTCTTTTTCTTAGTTTTTCTATTTCTATGTAGGATTTAGTTACCAAAAAGAAAAAATTCCCATGTATATTAAAAGGCAATATGTTTTTTTAATTGTTAGATTTTACTACCATAAAAATTAGTTTTGTCAAAAAGAGAAATTTCCATGAAACCTATGGATAAATTGTCAAGTGGAATCTAGAAGTAATTTAACAGAGACAATTTTTTAGCACACTCATTTGTTTATAAATTTTCATTTTTGTTGTGCACATCACTATTAAATCTCGTCTTATCAGTCTTATATATATAAAAGAATTTTCTTTATAAATTTTCTAAAATAAAATCACAATTACATTCTCCAACATAAAACTTTAAATATGAAATTTAATTAAATCACAACATTGCATAAAATAAGAAATTTTTTAAAATGCTAGTGACATCTTATTATTTTGGATTAACAAAAGCTAATATAATCTATAAAGTGTTTCTAAAAGGATATCAAAATGTCTTATTGTGTATAATATTTTTAGTGTATTCCTAGATATTTCTATAATGTCTTACATGCTCTGTGTAAATATATCTCGCTAATTGTAAGGAAAAAGGATAAATTTTTTAATTTTTTAATAAAGAGATTGCTATATATTTTACACAAATGAAGTTAAAAAAAAAAATTCCACCAAGAAAGTGAGCTTTTGAGACATGAGAGACAAAGAATAGATAAGTTATTATAAAAAAAAATTATAAAGAAAAACTTAAGTTTTTTACTATATCAAAGAATTTATCTTTTTTCCTTATTATTAGCAAGATGCTTTTAAATGTAACATGTAGAACGTTATAGGAATATCTATGAATACACTAAAAATAATTTCTTTAATACACTAAAAACCAAAACATATGAAATGCTAATTATGGCAACTAGATCCTAAATAAAAATATCAAAGATAAGAAAAAAAAGGAATGGGACCATCACTTTGCAATTGAATGTTGAGGGTTATTTTGTCTTTTTAATTTAAAAGTGGTAGATGTAGTCAAATAGGGAGTGGAAATAAGGTCGCCCTATAGTTATTCAAATTGTTTGGTATACTAATATATACGCAAGTTGAAGGGACATAGTCAACCTAACTCTCTTTTAATATTACGTGATATATGTACATTATGACACAGCTTGTATAAAGTATACTTAAGGTCGTACTCTACTTTTGCTGACTTTCTGTCCCATAGGTCCTTATCTAAGAAAAAAATTGATGTATTAGAGATATTATAGAACAATTATTTTGAATTCACATTAATTCATAAAAGAACTTTATACTAGGCTCTTAACGTGAAAGATCTGTCACGGACCCTAATTAAACGGATAAACAATTAATTAAAACACGTGTATAGATAAGCAGCGAAGAGAAAAAATTTCTCATGGTGAATAAAGCACTTCCTTTTTGTAAGCTTATAATTAAGGGTTAATATCACGAAAAACCCTAAACTGATACGCTTGTGACAAATTTATCCTAAACAAATTTTTTGACCATAAAAAATTCAAAATTGGTACACCTGTTACAGATTTATCCTAACCTATTTTTTTTACTACAAAAAATCCCAAACTGGTACATTTGTGACAAATTTACCCTCCGTTAAATTGGATTAATATCACGAAAAATTACAAAATGGTACACTTGTGACAGACGGAGGGTAAAACTCCAAACTAGTATACCCATCAACTGCCACGTGTCTTCCAACTCACAAATTTGACAGTAAAATTTAACGGAAACTAACAGAGGGTAAAATTGTTACATGTGTACCAATTTGGGATTTTTCTTGGTCAAAAAATTAGTTTAGAGTAAATTTATCACAAGTGTACCAGTTTGGGGGTTTTCATGGTATTAACCCTATAATTAACTACTATAAATAGCACCGGAATGGAGTGTGAAGGAAATTGTGGAAAAAGATAAAAATTAATAAAAAAAATGAAATAGCAAGTAAGGATTTTGGTCCCTCGTTTCTAATATAATTTCAATTGTCATAAAAGGAAAAAGGTAAGAGATTTACAGATTACTTTGAATTTGAATATTGAAGATTGATTGATTACTTGTCAATTATCTTACTTATCGTAAATTAGGGTTTGTCCATTTATAGTTATCTGTGGTCAGAATATAGCTGTGCGCATTTTCATGGAATATTTTTGCAATATTTTTGAGTTTGAGGTGGCCATTGGATTTGATTAATTAATAGTATAGATGAATACAATTAAATTTGTCTAAATTTCTCCACATTATGAATGTATCTGTGACCAACTCCAACATGGACTATAATTGCATGGGAAATCCACCTGGTAAATCACACGGACCCTACATTTTAGTGCATATCTTGCTGACCTACGTAAGTGAGTGAAAAAGAGACTCTACCAATGGACATTACTTTTGTTTTACATCACCACTCTTGTAAGAACACTACGCTCCAGCTATCTGAACAAAACCTGTGCGAATGCAGTGGATATTGCACGACTGGAGCGATGAAAAATGCATTGAGATTCTGAAGCGAAGCAAAGAAGCGGTGTCGGGTCGAGGCAAGGTTGGGAAAGTGATTGTGATAGAAATAGTAGTAGGGAATCAAACGGAAGATCACAGATCCACCGAAACGCAGCTCTTCTTTGACATGTTGATGATGGTGAACCTCAACGGGAAAGAAAGGAGTGAAAAGGAATGGGAAAAGCTATTTGTTGATGCTGGCTTTAGTGGTTATAAGATAATCTCTCACTTGGGTCTTCGATCCCTGATTGAGATTTATCCTTGATAATTTCTCTGCTTAATTAAGTTGCTTGGCTATTTCTTGTTCTACCCTTGCTATTAATTGATGTGTGATATGGAACATCCTTGTTGCAGATTGTATTGGAAGTTATATTGATGTTATAATTTTAGCACATGTACTTTATTATTGAATAAATAAGTAACACTACCAAATTCGATCTCGCCATCTCTTCCTTCTTCAACTATAACTTTACTTTATTTATAGATTATGCTGTGCTGAAAACTAATTATTTCTAGGTTATACTTTTCCAAATTTATAAGGACGGTCAATCGTACCAACAATCCCAAGTGGAATTAGCTTCAGTGGGTAGCAATGAGCCGTCCGTCTTCCAATCTGAATTCAAATATGAATGATCTTCCATCAAAATTTAGAACACCGATCATCAAAATCCAAGTTCAAATATGAGTGCACTGAAGAGTCGCCTAATTAAAAATTTATCAATAATCAATGAGAAAATATTACAATATCACTGAATTTTAGATTTTTTTTATGAAGTTTTTATCGGATGATTTTTAACTTATAATTACTCGATAAAAATAAGTTCATCGGTGCAGGATTTCTTTTGGAGCTTGCACAAATTCTAAGGAGATGGGATGCGGATTTCAATATGGGTAAAAAGGTGGAAAGGGGTGAATTGCGTCAGCGATGCTGGTGGCATTATCATAAGAATTCCACACTCACGATAATATAATCAGTTTTAAAAATCATAGCTGCTGCTTAGCAAGTCCATCACTGTCGCCCCACCACAGTCTGAACGAGAGTAGAGCCGAGATTATTCTACGCCATGACACGGTCGAATCTACCTTATACCAATCTGTGTTTCCTGAATAGCAGCATATCAGCAGAGAATGAATCAATGCAAGGGGAGCCGATGTTCTTCAGATTTGAAAATTGACGCATAAAGAAGGAGGCCCTATCTCATACGACGATAGGCCCAATTCGGTTATAAGTAGGCCCAGTTACATGGAACGAAGACACTGTTTTCGTTGTCCAGTCCAGTTAGGAGAATGAACTTTTATACTTCTAGTCCAAATTTTCGAATTACTTTTTTCTGCCTTTATGTTATTAGTGTGGTACTTGCACATAATCTTTGTTTTCGACAAAGTCCACAATCTAAAGAACTTATCGATCTTATTAGAAGACAAGAAAATGCATATAATGATTATCTCTCACAATCTCCATATAAATTTTCCCAGTTACTAAGGGAGCATGGTCTAAAGTTTACAAAAAAGTACGATTTGGCTGGGAGCATCGTCAAAATAATAGTAGCCTAAACATGATTCATGTTGACGTTTAATTGTTAATATGATTAGCAGCCCGTGTTACCTCCCTTTTGGTTTCGTAATTGCTTGCGACTGCTTAGTTAATAAACTAGTAATTGATGTAATGAAAGAACTAGACAAAGTTAGGCTCAGAGTTAATTTAATTCTTCATATTTGGACTCGTTAAGGTTAGAATAACAATGAAAAGAGGTTAACAGGGCGAGGTATGCGGAGCAAGAATATGATTGCATCACCCTCTTTAATCTCAGCACAAAAATAAAACATGGAGGTGGGAAAAACAACGATGAACTAGAGCATTCTTGAAAGGTATCAAAAAAGTTCTAAACCTATTGCATTTTTGTCAATTTAATACTAAATCTTTTAATTATGTCAATTGAGTCATAAATATTTTCACGTTTTGTCAATTGAGTCTATTCGGCCAATTATGGTCGGATATCGCTAACGTGGATGCCGCCAGTTTTACGTGATACGATTGACGCTGATGTGGACAATTTTTTTATAATATTTTAATAATTTTCGAATTTGTTTATTTTACTTTTCTTTTCGTTTTTTTTACAACCTTGTTGTTACAAGCGAGGTTGCCGGTCGACCATTGCCGGCCACATGACCTCGCCCAAATCCAAGTGAGGGGCTAGTGGCCCTTGCTTGTGGCCGACGAGGGCATCATGGCCCTCGCCCAGACCAGGTGATAGTCCCTCTTGGGTGGAAAAAGCAGCCTTGCAACATGGGAAGATGCGATGAAGAAGATGAAAAAGTGCCTGGTCTATGAGTGCACGATAAGTTGAGCATAAGTTGTAAGAATCAGAGTATGATAAAAAAAAATTATACTTTTGGATATTGCTTTTTTATTTCTTATTTTTGGTGATCAAAAGTCAACAAGGAATCACACCATCACTCAGGCACCCACAGCCAATACTGACAGCTAGAAACTTCAAAAACTCCATAATTATTCAGAGGTCAAATCAACAAGCTTATAGCAAATTACACTACATCAAACACAAATACTCCGATTAGAGCAAAGCTGCGGATGATAATCTGCAGTTAATCTTTCACTTACATGAGAAGAGGAGCAATTATACTGTGGATATGCGTGCAGAGAGACAGAGAGAGAAATTATATGGGGAGAAAGGCCTGTCGTCTATGGTTGAAAGGGAGGGGAAAAGTAAAAAGAAGATACAAGTTTTCTGTGATATTTAATGGCTGAAAGACTACAGGTGTAAGAATTTAAATGGAGGGGCTAGTCATTTAAAATGCAATTGCAATTAACTCCAGATTATCTAATAAAAGGCAACTTTAAAGAATTTCTTGATACAATTCCTTTAACTTGAGTTTATTCTATGTCTAAAGAGCATAGTTTTACTGAGTAATTAAATAAAATATTCATTGAATTGAATGTAAATGGATGGACTCACTATATAAATGTCTTATTACTTTGTACAATAGATTGTACATTAAATGAATTGTTTGATGAGAATAATATGCTTAGGTATACTTTGGGTGGTAAGTAAAACCTATTTAAACATATTTACAAAGATAAATCACCCCTCGTTATTGTATATGAATCAGATGAGTATATTGTATGAAGTTATCTTTAATCTAAATGAACTAAGATTGCACGATATGCTCCTTTTCACAATTCTTATAAATATTTGAAGAAACACAAATCATAACTACCAAGGAAAAACTCGTGTCGGGAAAAGTTGAAAATTTGGACACATTGATTTGGCTTTGGCATTGGCTCTGGCTCTGGCTTGTGTTGACACCTAAATTTTGGCGTATCATTTAGTCGTAATTTGTATAGAAAATTAGGGATTAAATTTTTAACCCCTAAACAAGAATATTTAGGTTGCATAACATATAGTTTAAATTCATTTTAGATTAATTGCATTTTGCATCGGACCGGCGGTGACGAACGAGCTTAAATTTCATCGAATGGGACTCGGCTCGCTTGGAATGCAAGGGCCGGAAATTACAAGTCAAACGGGCTCGGTTGTTTTAATTTAAGCTTAATTCAGCCCATTATCCTTAATTAATTCAGCCCATTTAAATTAAATTAAAATCTAAGCCCATTAGAACTAGAGAGCCCATCTAATTGACCTAGATTAGTGTTATATATACATCATTATGTCAGGATTTTAGGGAGAACATCCGAGTTTTGTTTTCTCTCATACCCAAGTGGGTTGAAAAGTAGGGGCTCTCATAATTCCCGGAGCAGAATTTTCAGAGAGAACAAGAAACACTCGTGAGTGAGAGAGATTGACGGCTGAAAAAAGAGAAGTTCTGTCCTCCCGCGGTGGTTCCTTCGGTGCTTGGCAACCATCCATCATCGCCGCACCAACGCTTCCGTCGTTCGAGAGATTCGGCCATTGAAGACCCACTGCCAAAGCAATAAAATCTAGTCAACACTAGACATGATCGAGCGGTGGTTTTTGTCTTGAGTGGTCCAAGCTGAGAGTAACAAAGGAGGGGAGATATTCACGAAGAAAAGAAAGGAAGTAGAGGCTGTGAATAAAAAAATCAAGTGAAGACAAAGTGGTGTTGCTGCTTTGCTGTTCGCTGGTCCAATTTCTCGTTGCAGCTCTCGCCGTGCCGGTCTCTGTTTCCTACAGCGTTCTCAACATTCCACGAGCGTCCTTGAAGCTTTCCGCTGGTCTGGTTCGTTGGTGATCGTCCCGGTGTGTCAAGTGATCTCACTCAAACGGCAAGCTGAGTTATCTGAAGCTCTCGCTGGCCGCATTGTGAGCACCTCACCAATACCGCGACACCGAGAAGTCTCCATCGACGGTCCTTGCCGTGGCACTATACCTCTAGCCAAGGCGCCATTGTCCTTGTCACCGCAGCCGATTGAGCCCCTCATTGACGGTCCTAGCTGAACCGCCATTGCGAACTCGTCGAATCACTGTGAGCCATTGTCACTGTCGTGAGAACCGTGTCCGCCATCGATCACCCACCATCGGTCACCGTCCCGTGATCCGCAAACTCGATCCGGCATCAAGCTCGAATTTGGAAGTTATCCGTAAATTAGGTAAGAAACTTTATCCGATATCGTTTCAAATATTTAAATTCCTAATTCGAGTGATTTTGTTGTCTTTAGTTGGTTAGTAGATATATTTGAATGATGCATGGCATATTCGCAAGATTCCAAAAAATACACTAAGTTAGGAAATTCCTAACTTAACAACGTGTTGGGACGACTATCCGATCTCAACCATGAGATACGATACTCGGTGGCACGGAAAATCTTTATCCTATCCATAACTATTTGGATACGATAATAGATTTTATTTTGTTCCCAAATTCAAACGAATTGCCTTCCATCAATATCCATAACCACATGGATATGATCGTCGGTTTATATCGTTTCCTTAATTCAAAGATAATAAAAAAATCTTGCGGATCGCGTGGATTGGTTTTGATCGTGGTGATTATCTATCTATTTGATTTATTTCCTTTAAAAAGAAAATTCCAAAAACAAGATTAGTTAGGATTTGAATTGATTTTATTAGAAGATAATGATGCATGTTTAGGATAGGTTTAGAATAACTTTCTTTGAATAAGCCGATAGGATAACTTTTTAATTTAAATTAGGAATTAGAGTAATTTATTTCCTTGTTTGATTTAGATATTATCCTGATCTCGATGGTTCATTTTAGGGTAATTCTTGATTTCGAATTTTCATAAAAATACCAAAAAGAAGCCACTTTAGGATAGATTAAATTATCTTTTTTTTTAGAATAGATTGCATGTTAATTTAGGCATTTTTTTAATTCCGAATTTCATTGAAAAAATACCAAAAATAAATC